TGGGGGTGGGAGGAATGGGTGAATCAACTGTTTTTGTCTCTTTGTTTTTTTAGTTTAAATAAACTGAAGGGAAATTAAAAAAAATCCAATCTCTGAATTAGAAGAGGCCCCTTCCACCCCTCTTCCTGTAACATGCTATTAATCCAGGTGGAGGGGCTCCAGGGCCTGGAGGCATAGTTCTCCTCCAGGTGTGGGGTCTGATGTTTGCTCTTGGGGGTCCCTTCAGGTCACCACCACAGATAGCAGAAATCTGTGTGCCAGTATTTTTTCTGGTTACACTGACTGCCTCTTCTCTCCTGCACTGACATTTTCCCTTGTACTAATCATTTTGTAATCATGATCATCTTTCCTACCTGAATTCCATTTGGAAAGTTCTTTGCAGTGAGTTTACTGGTTTCTGTGCCCTTCAGGATTAAATAATAATGTAATGATAGCTGACACTTACTGAACATTTTCATGTGCCAGATGGAGTACTTTATTATGTGATTCTCACAATTCTAAAAACAACATGATACTGTAAATCCCTATTTACAGATGACAAAACTGAAGCATAGAGAAAGGACTCAAAACTGCCTTTAAAAGAATCCCACACAGGTGATTATGAGTGAACAGGAACATTTTACCCTCAGTGAAGTTTTTACCCTGTATGAGTGATGCTGATCAGCATTAAGAAAACAAGGAAGAACAGAACATGAATAATCTGTTTCATTGGAATTACTATGTAGCTTTTAGTTTGAGTAACAAGCCAGGCTCAGGTTATTCTCAGAAAAATGGTTTTAAGCCTTTTCTCAATTTTCACCCTCTGGTTATATCTCTACAAGTTTTTAAAAAATGAAATCCCTCGAAACTTGAACTTCTCATGAGGTATCTTTGCACCAGAATGTGTAGCTGACCCTCAAAAATGTTTTTTTAATGCAAACAGTATTTGTGCTATTTCCAGATTTTCCTGGTCCATAAAGCATTCCAACACCTAAGAAGGAGTACCAGGATTTTAGCTTTTTACTAAAAAATGCAAGATGTTTGTGAAGGGCCCCAAATGAATTGAGTGGAGCAGCAAATGTTCCACACAAAGCCAACAACTCACTTAAGCTTCTAAAAGTCATCCTTGTTGCCAAAATGAACGATTCATTAGCAATATTTGGGAAGAAAAGTGTAAGCAGAGCCCTGAATAAAGAGATACCCTCTAATCCAAACTGGGTTCTCATGAGACTCTGCCACATCCCCCTGGACCATTGAGACTGGAGGTGGAGGAGAGCAAAGCTCATGTGCCCCAGTCAGGGTTGGGGGGCAGGTGGTCCACTGAAGTTCTGGCTGGTGAGCACCTGCAGCCCAGCTGTCCATCCTTTCTTCATAGTTCCCAGCAGGAAGGCAGTCGCTGCTTAGTTTACATGTATTCATACCACCAAACAGCCCCCTCTGAAAGTATGCTTTGACAGAACACTTCCTCTGAGGATGTTACATTGGATGCACAGTCACTTACACACTTATTGTGGTAGGCAGACCAATGGCTCCTCAAAAACATTCACCCTCTAACCCCTACAATTTGTGACTATGTGACCTTACATGGCAAAAGGACTTTGCGGAGGTGATTAAGCATCTTGAGATGGAGAGATGATTCTGGATTACCTGGGTGGGCCCCATGTGATCACAAGGGAAAAGAGACGGAAGCAGGAGGGTGTCAGGGAAGGACATGTGACAAGGGAAGGAGAGGTTGGAGATACAGAATTGCTGGCCTGTGAAGATGGAAGGGATCCATGAGCCAAGGAATACGGACAGATGCTAGAAGTTAGAACAGGCAAGAAAATAGATTTTCTTCTATAATCTCCATAAGGAACACAACCCCGTTCAAACTTTGACTTTAGGACTTCTGACCTCCAGAACTGTAAAACCATAAATTCTGTTACTTTAAACCACTAGGTTTGTGGTGATTTGTTACTGCAGCCATAGGAAACAAACATACCTGTGGACATTTGCATTGTCTGCCCTAATATTTTACCTTTTGTGATTTGACTTTGTTCTTCACAGAGTTAGGGGGGCGGTCTATTTCCCTCCCTTTGACTCTGGGTTAGCCATATGATTTGCTTTGGCCGAAAGAATGAGCTAGAAGTGATGATGTGCCAGTTCTGGGTGTAGGCCTGACGAAATTTTGTGTGTCTGCTCATTATTGCTCCTCTGTCATTGCCCTGTTGGAGGCATGCCTAGCCTAGATAACGGTCTGAGGCCAAGGATGGGGGACAATGGAACAGAGCAACCCCAGTGAGAGTATCCTAACAGAGGCCCCAGCTGAGCCATATCCAACTGAGCCCAACTCAGGTCAGCTGAGATCCTTACTGACCTCTGAACTGTAATAATATGTCACTTTAAGCCACTGAATTTTGGGTATTTTGGGATTACACAGCAGTAGCTAAGTGATATAGTGACGGCAACTTGGAAAGCAAGGCTCCAGGTGTTTTTTTTATACAATCTCAGTGTAATGTTTGCTTCTGTCAAGCACATGGCCCAGGCCATAAAAATGTAGGCAATTCATTTAGGCTGCAGTCTCACGGCAGTCTACAGGGGCCAGAGTAATCAGAGGCTTCTCCACTCACCCACCTCCTCCCTCCCTCCACCCCCAGAAAGAACTCACATTGTAGCAGTCTGTAGGTCTTTTTATTAGTTTATTGAAATTGTAAAATATAATAAGTTATATATACAAAATTAGACAAAACTTTTGACAATTAAGACTTCACTGGCTAGGGCCCATAGCTCTTAGCTTTGGGTGCTCCCTAAATGTTTTTAAGTATAGCAAAATAATGACTGTCTCATACAAAATGGCAGGGTAGAAATCCCAGAGGGTCAGTGATAATCGTTATGGTCTCATTGATTTGAATTCCATAATGTAGGCTAAAGTCCATCAAAATAAACTGTTCTTGGATTTGTTTCCAAATAAATAAATGGCAAAAGAATGTTTAGCTCCATAAGGACTAGCTCCCTAAAAGTTGCGAGTTGAGGGTCACTGAAACATGGTGTGATGCTGGCTGGACCTCCGGCCCCAGGAAGTGAGGCAAAGCTCTGGGCCTGGGAACAGCCACCCCTGCTCCTTCACTGAAAATGTTGTTCTTGAGAAACTGCAGGCTGTCTCCCTGGAATGGCATGCTCATCACATGTGACATTTGCAGCCTAATTCAGGGGGAGACTCTCATTATCATTATCACAAAGCAGGAGAAAGGGGTGCCGTAGGATTTCAAAGAGGAATTAAAAGGAGAATTAAATTTTGCCATGGAGGATATACCAAATAGGTTCTAAAAAACAGCAGCAAACAGACACAGCAAATGATGATATTAAATATTCAGGACCTAATTATGATCCTATCACAGTATGTTCTACATTCATTGGTGGGAAATTGCTTGTTGGCTTGTTGGCTCTAAACATATGACTGATTTCCTCCCCCCAAAGCATTTGCTCAGTCATGTGACTTGTAATTTTAAAAACATAGCTTTGGAAGTCAGAGACTGGTTTTAATTTAGTAATAACCCATAGTCAGATCTGTCATTAGGAAGCTCAGCAGTGAACTCTAAATTAACCCCCTGGTATGATCACTACCCTGGCTCCCACGCTCTTGGCAACTGCAGGTGTAGTAAGAGAATTTGCCAAGAACAATGCCAGTTTATTACTTTATCTCTAAACGTGTATCAAACAACTACAGTTACTCTGAGTTTTTCTGCTTAGAAGCATGTCTCATTTAACTTGATGACTCACAGTGTTCACCTGGATGTGTACCTCAAAGGCCTGGCATTTCCTGCAGCCCTACTTTCCTATTGCCCACCTGAACTGTACTTACCCTGATTACAGAGCCACAGGCTAACTTCTCCTTTGCAGAGAAGAAAATGGCCCACGTTGGCACAACTAGAACCAGGTCCCTGGATTCTGAGCCCAGGCCCTCCCTGTGCTGTGGGGCCCCATGTTCCTTGACTGGTTCAGAAGCTCTCATGCCACAAGGCTCATCCACAAGTCTCAGATGCTCAAAATCTACAATTATGCATGGCTGAACTCTTAGGAAGTCACCATTTCTCTTTATACATAGAGCGGACCACTCATTTCTGTTTGAAGCAAAAACAGGCTGACCCATCATTTAAATAGATTGTGTTCTTGAGCATTGCTGCCCACAAAAGGGTCAAAACTGACTAAGGATGAGAGTGGAAAGCAATTCATGTGTAATACAAAACCACCAGGTGGCGGACGTGGGATTCATGCAGTAGGTGAAACCGGCCACTGACTAGACACAGGTCTATTTAACTGGACAAACACACACCTTCTATGTCAGGACAGAAGGCAGGCCACAGAGTGAACTCTTCCATTAGTGACTGGAAGGGCTGTAGGAATACGGATGGCTTCAAGAACAGGCAATGGTATCCCAATGAAGTCACTCAGGATATCCATAGACAAGTACCAGCCCTGACACACTACATGGAGTGGGACGTCTGCCTTTTGTAGCCATGTCACCAGGCTTTCAAGTTGTTTTCTTCATGGGGCTGCCCTCCTTCATCACCCATGGGGAGCCATCTCCTCCCTCAGAACTTCTATTACGTTGTCTTACCATCCCCTCACCCAGACTCTTTGATGTCCTCTAGCAAGGTGGTTTGTAAACATGTCTTCTCTCTCTCCCTAGGTTGTAAACTCCTTAAAGACAGGGACCAGATTCTTCACCCCTGTCATCCTCACGTTGTTTGGTGCATCTGAGCACCCAACAACGTCCCTTGAATGAGTTCATGAATAAATATTCATCCTGCCTGATGAGGTACAGGTGGGGAGCTGGGATACTCCCAGCTTTAATCTTTTATCTTTGATTAGATTGGAAGACGGGCCTCATTTCCTCTTGTTCCTAGGAACAACCTAAGGCAAAGCCTGGTGACAGGAGAAAAAGCCTCGATTCTTGGCAGTCTGTTGGCAGCACTCACAGCTCCAGAGCCCTTGTTAGATCGTTGGTGCTTCCCAGGAAGGACAGCCCACAGGCAGGCTCCTCAGGCTGTCGTGGGTGGCTGGGAGGCAGGGGGCACAAGCCCGGCCCATTCCAGTATGTCTGCACACAAGGACTCCACGGCATCTAGCCGCTCGATCTGCACCAGTTTTGTGAGCAGCTCTGGGATGCTATAGCCTGCCGTGCTGATGCGGTCAAAGAGCTGCATGCCATCTGTCATGCCCCCAATCTCATCCCTCTTCAGTCCAAAGCTCTCGGCGAGGTGGCGCCATGTTTTCACAACGGCCTTCTCGGAGTTGTACGTGGAGCTGAGCATTCGGCTTGTCTTCTCGAGACAGTCAAATGGCAGCTCTGTGGGGCTGAGACCTGCAGAGATGAAGGACCACGTCAGACACTGTGAATGGCAGGTAACAGAAGCTCAACACCATTAAAAATTATTTTTAAAACCTTTTTTTAAATTGTAAAATGAAACATAGATTCAGAAAACCACACAAGATAAATGCATAGCTTGAGGTGAACTACACCCAGGACTTTGCCAGCCACATGAGAAGCATAAGTACCCTAACCCTAATAATAGCCCCTCTCCTCCTGGGAAAATAGCTGCCACACTGGCTGTTAGAGTAATCCCCTCAAGACCACTGTCAGCAGATGAATGGATAAAGAAGATGTGGTATATATATACAATAGAATATTATGCAGCCATCAAAAGGAATGAGATCTTGCCATTTGCAACGACGTGGATGGAACTGGAGGGTGTTATGCTGAGTGAAATAAGTCATTCAGAGAAAGACATGTATCATATGACCTCACTGATATGAGGAATTCTTAATCTCAGGAAACAAACTGAGGGTTGCTGGAGTGGTGGGGGGTGGGAGGGATTGGGTGGCTGGGTGATAGACATTGGGGAGGGTATGTGCTATGGTGAGCACTGTGAATTGTACAAGACTGATGAATCACGGATCTGTACCTCTGAAACAAATAATGCAATATATGTTAAGAAAAAAACAGAAGAAGAAGATAGCAGGAGGGGAAGAATGAAGGGGAGTAAGTCGGAGGGGGAGACGAACCATGAGAGACGATGGACTGAAAAACAAACTGAGGGTTCTAGAGGCGAGGGGGGTGGGGGGATGGGTTAGCCTGGTGATGGGTATTAAAGAGGGCATGTTCTGCGTGGAGCACTGGGTGTTATGCACAAACAATGAAACATGGAACACTACATCCAAAACTAATGACGTAATGTATGGTGATTAACATAACAACAAAAAATTTAAAAAAAAAAGACCACTGTCAGCAGTCACTGAAGTCTTGAGTATGGGCTACCCTTAGTTGGGTGACCCTGCTTCCCCTGGAGCTGGGCTGATGAGGGAGTCAAAGGAACAGTATCACATCCCTTTATTGGGATAGCAATCACCTTTATGAAAGGTGCTTTCAAAGACAGCCTGAAGTTGGTGCTACCTGAGCCAAGTCACTGCCACCTGATGGTTCTCAGCCTTCCCTGCGCATTAGACTCACCTGGGAGCATTTGAAAAAAAAAAAATTTGATGCATTTTCCCTTTTGGATGATGGAGTAAATATGTTTTTCCCTATTCTTTCTGGTAAGTACAGCTAAAAACCCTGGATGCTATGTACAAAGCAAACATAAGGAGACCTGTGGACAGAAAAGACAGACTGGTAGGGATCTTGGGAGTAGAGCAATGACACAGTGCTGAGTTCCTTGGTTTCCTTCTGCCTCATTATCCCAGACATGGAGCTGAAGAGTCCAGCAACCCAGAAACACCAATACCAAACAAAAATAGCCCCAACAGAGACCTGCTCTCTCTAGCTAAAGCACTAGGAAAAGAGAAGCTCAGCAAGAAGAAAACATTTAGACAACTGCTTTGTTACAGCCAAACACCACAGAGAAAACTCTGGCCCCGCCCCCACTAAGGCCAGCAAAGGCTGAATGGGAGCTTGACGTCCACCCTCAGTAGGCTGTAACACTGCACCAGTTGTTAGGGAAGGTCAAATTGAGAGCCTGTCCACTCCAGTGGTATCGGTGGAGACCACATAGAGAAACAGATTCCCACCCCACCCCCCTGCCAGCAACAAAAAGAAGCCCCTACTTGGGTGTCAATGAAGGGTAAATGGGAAGCTAGACATCTACCTCCAGAGAGGTATCAGAGGAAACCAGCTACAACAGAAGGTTTAAATAAGATCCAGAGTCTCATAACATGACATAAGCCTTCCAGTTTCAATAGAAACCCACTCAGCATACCAAGAACTAGGCAGATCTCAAATATTCTTAATTTTATTTTTGAAAATATTTCCAAAAAGGGGAAAGAATGTGAGGCAAGTCAGCCAAATCCTCTGTTTATGGCTAGGAAGATCTCAAATGAATGAAAAAAGACAAGACCAAAGATAACAGATCTGATAAGTATTTTTAAAAAGCCATGATAAAAATGTTTCAACAAATAATTACAACACATGCTTGAAACAAATGAAAAAATAGAAAGCCTTCACAAAAGATAGAAAATATAAAAAAGAACCAAGTGGCAATGTTAGAACTGCAGAAAGACAATAATTGAAATAAAAAGCTGCGTAGATATGCTCAATGCAGAATATAGAGGAAAGAATTAGTTAACTGGATAATAGAATTGAAATTATTTATCTGAACAACAGATATAAAATAAACTGAAAAACAGAGTCCCAAGGACCCATGAGGCTAAAACAAAAGATCTCACATTTGTGTCATGGAGGCCAGGAAAGGAGAGAGAGGGTATGGATGGAAAAGGAAATAATGGCTGAAAACTTCTCAAACTTGAGAGACATAAGCCTACAGATTTAAGAAGCTGAGAAAACTCCAAACAGGATACACCCAAAGAAATTCACATCAAAACACATCATAAATTCTTGAATACTAAAGACAAGTCTTGAAAGCAGCAAGAAAAAATCAACACCTTACCTACAGCAGAAAAGCAATTAGAACAGCAGTGGATTTTTCATCAGAAACCTGGAGACCAAAGGGACATGGCACAGTATTTTCAACTACAGAAAGGAAATAACTGTCAACACGGTGTCCCACACTCAGTGAAAATACCCTTCAGGAATGAAGGGGAAATCAAGGCATTCTCAGGATGAAGGAAAACTAAGAATCTGTCACTAACAGAACTACCTTAAAAGAATGACTAAAAGAAGTCTCTAAACAGAAAGGAAAGGATAAAGAAGGAATCTTGGAACATCAGAAAAGAGCATAGTAAGCAAAAATATTGGTAAACATCACAGCTTTACTTCTCCTTTTAGGTTTTCTGAATTATGTTTGCTAGGTGAAGCAACTGATGTGGTTCTAAATATATGTAGAGGAAATATTTAAGACAATTATAAACAGGAAGGACATAAAGGGAAGTTTTTTATACTTCATTCAAACTAGTAAAAGAATGACCTCAGTGGACCATGATGAGCTGTATATATACACTGAGAGAGAAGTTGAGAGATGAAGAAACTACTAAAATAGCTATGGAAAAAGCTATGTACTCAGAACACATAAAATACATCACTCAAAAAAAAATCAAAATGGATTTCTAAAATATGTTCAAGTGACCCAAAGGAAAGCAGGAAAAAGAAAACAGAGAAAATGAAAAACAGAGACAAAAAAGAATAAACAAAAAATAAAATAGCAATCTTAAATGCTAACATTTCAATAGCTACATTAAATGTAAATGATTTAAATATCAATTAAAAAACAGAGCTTGGCGGAATGGACTCAAAAATGGCCCAATTATATGCTATCTACAAGAAGCTAATGTCCAATATAATGATATAGGCAGGTTGAAAGTACAAGAATGGAAAAAGATATACCATGTAAACACTAATAAAAGGAAAGCAGAGTGGCTATTACATTAGACAGAGTAGACTTCAGAATAAAGGAAATTGCCAGAGACCGAGGAACATTATATAATGATAAAAGGGTCAATCCACTGTGAAGACATAGCAATCCTAAATCTATATGCATCAAACAACAGAGCTCTAAAATATGTGAAGCAAAAACTGAAGAACTGAAAGGAGAAATAGACAAAATGACAATTACAGTTGGAGACTTAACAACTTTCCCTCAGTAACTGATAGAACAACTGGTAGGAAATCAGCAAGAATATAGAACTCAACATCACCATCAACCAACAAAATCCAATCAACATTTATAGAATACTCCACTCAACAATAACAGAATACACATTTTCTTCAAATGTAGGCCTTAAATCTCAACAAAAGAATGAGAAGAATTGAAACTGTATACAGAGTGTATTTGCCTACCACAATGGAATTAAACTGTAAATCAAAAACAATGATAATAGGAAAATCTTCACACACTTGGAAACTAAAGAACACACTGTTTTTGGGGGCGGGGCAGGGATTAAATTTGATTTATTACATTTGTTTCTCCATGGAGTTAATGCATTTAAAGACATAGTTTACTTTTCAAATGGAGAGACATTGTTTTCAGAGACCTTTATTAGATTCCTGCTTGATCCCTTGACATTCCTTTAGAAGAAAATTGTATATGGGGATGGAGGGAGAAAATATGTGTGGGTCCTCTTCTTTCTGGAAGGTTCCAGAACCAATGGCTGTTGGTACTTCTCACGCAGAGAAGAGTGACCAGCAGTCACTTCCTGCTCTGTGTCCTGCCTCCTGCAATGAGGAAAGCCACTGGCACTGGGAATAACTCCATAGTGCTGGCCTTTCACTGCATTCTGGGGGCCCCACTATTCAGCAGGCCTCTGTCTTGCACCACTGTTAATGCATTTGGTATGGTATGAAGATTAAACAACACACTTCCAAATAATCCATGGGTCAAAGAAGAAATCTCAAAGGAAATTTTAAAAATGAAGGAAAATAAAAATACAACATATCAAAGTTTGTAGGACACAGCTAAAGCAATACTGAGAGAGATACTTATATCACAAATACATACATTATAAAAGAAGGAAAATCTAAGCTCTCATCTCACGCATCCAGGAAAAGATAGCAAAATAAAATCAAAGTAAACAGGAGGAATGATATAGTAAAGAGCAGTCATCAATAAAAGTAAAAAAGGAAAAACAATAGAGAGAAACATGAAAAGAGTGGTTCTTTGAAAAGATCAATAAAATGGACAAATGTATGATTGATAAAGAAAAAATGAAGAAGACACAAAATACCAATATTAAGCAATGAAGAAGGGAATATCATTATATACCCTGCAGACATTAAAAAAAAGGGGGTGGGCACCTGGGTGGCTCAGTTAAGCACCTACCTTCAGTTCAGGTCATGATCCCAGGGTCCTGGGATCGAGGCCCACGTCAGGCTCCCTGCTCAGCAGGGAGCCTGCTTCTCCCTCTGCCCCTGCTCATGTACTCTCTCTCTCTTGCTCACTCTCTCAAATAAATAAAGTCTTTAAAAAAAAAATTTAAAAAAAAGGAATCTACAAGCAACTCTACACGCATAAATTTGACAACTTAGATGAAATGGGACTATTCCTCAAAAAGCATGAATACAACTCACTCAGTATGAAATAGATCTTTTGAATAGCCTTACATGATTAAAGAAATGTAATTTGTAATTTAAAAAGCCCTCCCAAAAGAAATCTCCAGGCTACACAGTTTCATTGTAGCCAAACATACAAAGAAGAATTAACACCAATTCTACATAATCTCTTCTGGAAAATAGAAAAGGAAGAAATACTCCCCAATTATTCTGTGAAGCCAGTATTAGCCTGATACCAAAACCAGACCAAGACAGTACAAAAAAGAGAAACTACACACCAATATCCCTCATTAATACAGATAAAAAAAATCCTTAACAAAATATTAATAAATGGAATTCAACAATATATAAAATGAATTATATACCATGACAAATGGACTTCATTCCAAGGGTTGTGAGACTGGTTCAATATTCAAAAATCAATGTAATCTATCTACAAAACTAATGTAAATCATTTACAAAACCCCTAGAACCAACATTACACTTAATGGTGAAAAACATGCTTTCCCTTTAAGATCAGGAACAAGGCAAGGAAGTCTGTTCTTACTACTCTTATTCAATATAATGCTGGAAGTTATAGCCAGTGCAATAAGGCAAGAAAAGGCATAAAGATTGGAAAGGAAGAAATAAAAGTGTCCCCATCTGTAGATGTGATTATCCATGTAGAAAATTTCAAGGAATCTATAAGAAAACTCTTGAGACTTTGTGAGTTCAGCAAAGTCACAGGATACGAGATAAACATACAAAAATCAATTGTATTTCCATATACTAGCCATTAATATGTAGACACTGAAATTAAGATAAAATGTCACAATCATTCAAAAATAAATGAAGTTCTTAGATATAAATCAAATATAGATATAAAGCAAAATATGTATAGGACTTATATTCTAAAACCTACATAATGCTGATGAGAAAAGTTGAAGAAAATCTAAATGAATGAAGAGACATGCCATTTTCATGGATTAGAAAACTCAACATAGTAAAGATGTCAAGTCTCCCCAAACTTTGGTATACAGATTTGATGTAATTCCTATCAAAATCCCCAGCAAGATATTTTGTAGATATAGGGACAATTATTCTAAGATTTATATGGAAGGGCAAAGGAACTAACATTGGCTAGAACAATGTAGAACAGAAAGAAGAAAGTGGGAGCAAACAGTCTATCTGATTTCAGGACTTGTTGTATGCTATGTGGTACTGGCAGAAAAGCTGACACAAAGATCAGTGCAACAGAGCAGAGAACCCAAAAAATAGACCCACACAAATATGCCCAAGCTGAGTTTTGACAAAGGTGCAAAAGCAATTCAATGGACAAAAGATAGCTTTTCCCAACAAATGGTGCTGGGGCTACTGGACATCTACAGGCAAAAAAACCCCAAAAAACAAAACAAAACAAAAAAACAAAAAACCACCACCAACAAAAAAACCCCTCAACCTAAGTCTCACATCTTTTATAAAAATTAACTCCAACTGATCATGGACTCAAATGCAAAACAAAATGATAAGTCAGAGGAGAAAATCTTTGTGTTCTAGGGCTAGGCAAAGAGATCTTAGCCTTGATACCAAAAACAAAATCTATAAAAGTAAAATGATAAATTTGACTCATCAAAATTTCACCTCTCTGTGAAAGACACTATTAAGAGAATGGAAAGACAACCTACACAGTGGAGAAAATATTTACAAATCACATACCCATCAAAGGACTAGTATTCAAAACTCAACAGCAAAAACCCCCACAATCCAGTTGGAAAATGGGCAAAAGATAGAGAAACATTTTACTGAAGAGGACATACAGATGGCAATGAGCTCATGAAAAGAGGGCACGTCCTGCGTGGAGCACTGGGTGTTATAGGCAAACAATGAATCATGGAACACCACATCAAAAAGTAATGATGTAATAATGTATGGTGATTAACATAACATAAAAAAAGATGCTACATTAGGGAAATGCAAATTAAAACCACCATGAGGTATGAAAACATAACTATCAGAGTAACTAAAATAAAAAACAGCAACACTAGCAAATGCTGGCAAGGAAGTAGAGAAACAAGACCACTCACACATTGCCGGCGGGGATGGACATGGTACAGGCACTTTGGGAAACAGTTTGGCAGGTTTTTGGTTTTTTTTTAAAGATTTATTTATTTCTTTTAGAGAGAGAGAGAGCACGAGTGGGAGAGGCAGAGGGAGAGGGAGAGAGAATCCCAAGCAGACTCCGTGCTGTGCCGAGCTCTGTCCAATGCAGGGCTCGACCCCATGACCCTGAGATCACGACCTGAGCCAAAAACAAGAGTCGGATGCTCAACCAACTGGGCCACCCAGGTGCCCCGGCAGTTTTTTAAAACACTAAACATGCAACTATCATACAACCTAACAACTGTACTCCTGGGCATTTATCCCAGAGAAATGATGACTTATGTTCACATAAAACCTTTTCATGGCTCTTTATAGTGGCTTTATTCATAAATAGCCCCTGGAAACAACCAAGATGTTCTTAAATGGATGAACACTTGGACGAGTTGTGATTCGTCCACAATGTGGGCAGGTACTCAGGGGTATGAGGAAAAATCTACAACACACACAACCTGCATGAATCTGTGGGGAATTATGTGGAGGAAAAGGGCCTTTGGCAAAAGGTTACATGGTGCATGAGTCCACTTAATGTTCATGAAATGACAACTGTAGAAACGAAGAACTATTAGTGGTTGCCAGATGCTAAGGAGAGGTGGGGGTGGGGAAGTGGGTGAGGCTATAAAAGGGTATACAGAGGGATCCTTGTGGTGAAGGAAATGGGCTCTGTCTTCAGGTATCAATGTCCTGATTGTGACTTTCAGATTGATTGAGCAAGATGGTCTCACTGGGGGACACTGCGTAAAGGGTCCACAGGAACTCTCTGTATAGTGTCCTACCACTGCATGTGAATCTGCAGTGATCTCAGAATTACAAGGTTAATTGAAAACAAACAAAAGTAATTGATGCTGGAGACTCACCCCAGCCAAATTACATCAGGATCTTGGGACCTTTTGGGGGGTGGCTGGGCAGAGGGGAGACAGTGGAAAACTCTGGGTGAGTATATACTATTCCCCCAGGGCTGGGCACTGCTGGTCTGAGGTTCTCTGCCTTGGAGATGTGAGTGTCCCCAAGGGTTGATAAGTACACTGAGCACCCCAGGCTGTGAGAGGGTGGCCAAGCACATGGAGCTCACACTCTTCACCCTCCCAGTCTCACTGGAGAAGCTCCTCTTTCCTCTGGGGTTCCTGAAATTAATTTGAAAACCACTGTCCCAGGAGTATGGGCTCTAAAAGCCAAGACATATTTTGGAACAGAGAAGAGCTTTCCAGGGTGATGGAATGCAAATCTCAGACCATCCTCCACAGGGCAGCCGTGCCAGGCTTATCAGACATGGGGCATGTGTAGTTATGGAGAGATGCTGCATTTCAACAGGCAGCCAAGTCGAGTTCTTGGCCCCCAGAAGTTATTTCTGTCCAAAGGAGCACTCAGCCAGTAAGCCTGCCCCGGTCTCGGTGTGCTGGGCTCCACCTCTGCAGAGAAATGAGAGGCCCCCAGATTCTACAACTCCTGCTTGGGGCAGACCCAGAAGTCCAAGGAGGGACGCCAGTGAGACCAGGACCGAGTGGCCTGATTAGCTGGGGAACATTCTCTAACCTCAGTGATGAGGAGTTTTGTCCCCTGGGTGGATACAAAGGTAATTTAGAGCCTAGATTTGGAAGAAATGGGGACTGTGGATTCTGGTTTCAGGTTGAAATGCTTTTATTCCTAATCTTGCTTCCCATACCCAGAGTGTAGTTGTGAGACAGCCTGACTCTGCTTGCTTGGGAAGCATCTTTGAGGAGGGGGACCAGGACCCAAGGAAAGGGCAAGGCCACCTAATAACCGGGTAAGTGACTGAAAACACCAGTGCAGAGACAGCATCTGGGGGACACTGGGGGACACTGGCTCCTTCCACTACTGTTCTCTACTGACTCCATGGTCCTCCAGGGAGACCCTGCCCTGGGGCTGGCTGGGTGTTATCTCCTTGTCTTGTGAGGGAAAGGGCCTTGGGGAGTGCCAGGGAAAAGGCCTTAAATAGTTTGGCGCCAAATTCCACGTCCCTCCACACCTGAGGTGGGTTCGCCAGCCGCTGGGATGAGGAACATGACAAGCTGGGGTGGGTGGCCTTTCTCGGCCCCCATGGGGCCCCGGGACTCCTGCCAGAGCCACCTCCTCCATGTTGACGGTTGGGGAAATCTGGGGTATGTGTCCCCAAACAGCATGTCCATGCTTACCTTCAACGACTCCACACACATTGGCGTACACATCCAATATCTTTTTCCTTCGGCTTTGAATCTATGGGAAAAGGGAAGAGAATGTTAATTTTCAGAACAAGAGGAAGTGGTAGCCCACAAAAACGCAAGTTCTCCATCCCAGTGTCGGCAGCTACTGTCCCCTGACTGGCGCCCTCACATGACCATCTCATCAGGAAATTCGACCCCTTCAGTGTGCACAGAGGTGGGGCTGCTCTTCGGCTCCATTGGACATTCAGGCTCACAAGACACCTGGCATTAGTCCGTGTGGGAGGGTGAGTGGCGGGGACCCCAGCTGGCCAGTGGGCGCCTGAGATGCTGTGGCTGTGTCTGCAGCCATCCACAGACTCTTCTCCCAGAGCACACATGAGGCCCATGCTGGATCCGGGCTGAAAGGTACCACTCCCCAAGGGAGCCAATACCCCTCAGAACAACTCCCTGGGCCTCCAGGGTCCCTGCAAGTGATGGGTACCATCACAGATGTCCCTGAACTCAGGGCAGCCCAGAGCATGTCATCCCTGTCCAGACCTAAGCCAGATCCGGCTTCCCAAGCGGGGGTGTTTTCCCCATTAGCAATGTTACCTAGCAACACGCTGACCTACGCTTGGGTCAGGTGGCCAGTGAACCACGCGCTATGTGCTCAGGCAGCCTGGGCAGCGCCGTGCTCTTTTGCCCGAGCGCCCTGCCCTGCCACGGCACGTTCCCAGGTGGCCTGCTTTGGGTGACAAGCCCTCTGGGCAATTTTACATGCAAAAATGGGGCATATTGTGTATGTGTGTGTACACTATGGGTGTGTGTATGTATGTGTGAGTGTGTACACTGCGTATGTGTGTATATATATATTTTTTGGTCTGCTTGGACACATGCCAGTATATTTACAAAGGTTTTTTTCTGTCTTACGGTATTCCAAGCAATTTTAACTTTTCTCTTGGCTTACTTTCATTTTCTTCTATAAAGCTAGATAATACAGAGATAAGTTTCCTATTTTTTTGCTCTCTTGTGTTAAGCCTGCCACTCTATCTAGGGTCCCGCATGGCAGGCCGGCCTCCCGTCTCCGCCTCCCGGGGCTCCAACAAGCATGTGAGGAGCAGCACCAGGGCCTCACCCCGGCTGACTTGGTGGCTGCCGACTTCTCCCGGGCCAGGTGAACCAGCGACAAGAGGCACAGCTCTGGGGAGCCCTGCTTGTCGGTGGCAGGCTCCTCGTCACTGTCCATGCTCCGGCTCAGCAGCTGCTCGTTCTCCGATGATGCGTCATTCTCACTGTGGGAACAGGAGGGTGTTTGTTAGCAGCGGCCCTGACACATTTTCCCAGTGGGAAGACGATTGATGGATCGATTGGTGGGAATGCAGGGACTTGTTCCCCAAGCTTTTACTGAGCAGCTCCTGGGCACGAGGTGAGAGAGACATGCCGCACTTGCTACTCCTCCCAATGAATGACCTGCACGCAGCGGGGCCTGCAGGTGTCCTGTGAGAGGACTCACAAGGTGTCTCTCGAGCCCCACGCGGCTGGGGTTCATCAGGGAGGGGGACAGCATCTGCTCGTCTGTTCCCCCAACCCAGCTCAGTTAAGCTTTCTTGAATATGTCCCAGCTTCCTATTTTTTTTTTTTTTAAGATTTTATTTATTTATTTGACAGAGACACAGCGAGACAGGGAACACAAGCAGGGGGAGTGGGAGAAGGAGAAGCAGGCTTCCTGCTGAGCAGGGAGCCAGATGGATGCAGGGCTCAATCCCAGGACCCTGGGATCATGACTTGAGCCGAAGGCAGACGCTTAACAACTGAGCCACCCAGGCGCCCCAGAACAATGCTTTCTTAATTCTAAACAATCACACGCATACATACACACACCCACACATGCATGCACACAAACTTTTGGAAAATAATTTACTCATAAGTTGGAGACCTGGAAACCATCACTGGTAATATAAATGTATTATGTCCCCTCTTAGGACTAATTATCAAGTGAAAAAAATCAGTATATCAAATTTTTTTAAAGATTTTATTTATTTATTTGACAGAGGGAGACACAGAGAGAGAGGGAACACAGGCAGGGGGAGTGGGAGAGGGAGAAGCAGGCTTCCTGCTGAGCCAAGAGCCCGATGTGGGGCTCGATCCCAGGACCCTGGGACCATGACCTGATCCGAAGGTGGACACTTAACGACTGAGCCACCTAGGCTCCCCTCAGCTTCCTGTTTTTAATGCACGCCAGCTCCAAGTTCAGCATTGTTCTAAATGCAAACAGGTTTATGTGGCCAGCACTGAATCTGTGCAAGTTCTCTGGAACGACTCCAAACAGAGCTGAATGAGCCTGCCTGGGGAGCCCCCGTCTTGACTAGGGGGTGACCTGGCTGAAATGTGTGCATTGTAGGTGGGGTCACAGCAAGCTGCAAGAGGGGCTTCGGGAGCTCCCCCCGGAAGCCAGGTGGGCCCACATTCTACCACAGCTCACAGTCCACAGCCCTAGGCACATGTGGGTTGGAGCTTAAACTCTCAAAATCATTCCAAATAGCTGAAAAACAACATTCTTTTTTTAGGCATCCTGTTCGCTTTCTGTGGTCTGGCTGACGACTTACAAAGAATTATTCTTTTCTAGCCACTGGGTTACAGTAATGAAGCCCACACTCAAAAGCAACCCTAGAGGCCGGATGAAGGTGAGGCCCAGTAGGTTCAGGGCCTTGCTCGGAGTTGGCTGCCCTGCCGCTGTCTCCCCCCCCGCCCCGCACCCCGACAGCAGGCTAGGAACAAAAGCACGGTTGTCCCCAGAGACCACTGATGGTCCCAGGTCCTTTCCCTAAGGCCTAGGAGCAGACAGAGGGGACAGGAGCTCTGTGCCTTGCCTTTTATAGCACGATTGTCCGGTTTTCATTTGACATTTGCATATGAAACAAGTATTATTTTTCCAAATTCCCCGTTTCCCTCAGTCTTTAGATGAAACTTAAGTCACAGGACACATCCCTGCCCTTTGAGTACCCTTGTCTCCTACTTTTGAGAAAGAGCAAAGCCTGGAGGAACAGAAGGCTGCCACAAGACAGGGATGCACAGTTGGGAGGGTGGAGGAGAAACTCGTCCGTGGGGAGGCACACTGCAGAGCCAGCTCCCGCAGCCCGGCCCGGCCCGGGGCTCTGACACAGGGAACAGAGGTACTCCCAGGAAATGACCACCATCTAAGAGACTGCCCAGGGGGACCCCCACTTTTTCTTTTCTTTCCCAGCATGCACAGATTTCATGATTTAAGTCTGCTTCCTGCCCTTGCAATAGGGGTCTTGAGAGATGCTGGAGTTTTCTAAATGAGGTAACACCTTTGGAAGTGCTTGATTAATGCCAAAGCTCTACACAAACGTCTGGATTCATGATCATTCCTACAAATGAAAGGCTTTGCAAGAGTTCACCCACCTTGGGAAGGTTGCAGGCCAGGAGACAGTGCCCCTCTGCCCTTCCTATAATTAGTTTGGGGCCCCCCATGGCCTCTGTGTCCCACCCACAACGTGGGCACAATGGGGTCCTGGAATGGCCAACGGGGTAGAGGCCAGACAGGGGACTGACACCATGGGGTGGATTTGTGGAACCTAAGCAGGTCCAAGTCCAAATGACCATGTAAGGGGGCAAAGGAAAAGTTCACTTCCCTCTGCCCTAGATATTAAAGCCAGGGCTGATTCTACATCTTAATGTGTGCTAAATATGGTAAAAATCTCATATGTCAAAATTCTTCTTTAAGAAGTCTCACTTCACAAGGGTTAGTGGTTGGTCTGGAGCCTGTACAATATGGGCTGTGGGGCCAGACGGCCTGGACTGGTGCCCCGGCCCTGCTACTCCTGGATGTGTCACCTCAGGCACATGACAGCTTCCAAACCTTGGCTTTCCACCATCAGGGGTAATACTAGCACCTTGTGCGTGGGCACTCACAGACCTAGCACCGAATGTTCCTTAGCCATCATCATTACCAGCGCGGCCCAGCATTTAGGGAAACTAGTTCTGGTTTTAGCCTAGTGATACCAGGGTTCCTGTTGGCCATGGGGAGCTGCTGAAGAAGAAGGGGACACTCACAAGCTTCGAGTTTGCGCACAGAGGGTGGATGTTGAAGAGGAAAGTGGGGCGGGGGACAGCTGGCCTTGGAGCAAGGTGTTAACCACCTGCCCCTCACATTGCCTGGCCCCTGCGGCAGGTCAGAGGTGAGGCTGAGGCCTGGTACTCTCCTGCCTTGCTCGTCCCGGGGTCCTGCTCCCTCTGGAGCCTCCAGGCCAGTGGCCAGGCTTCTTGGGATGCTCCCCATCTGGCACTCCCCTTTCTGCTCAGGACCCCAAGAGGACCCCTGACCTCACCTGGGGCTGGGGGCTGCTCCACCCCATGACTAGTGGCTGCTTTGGCTTGACTTACCTTTTGACAGTCTTTGCTGGAGCTGTGGTCAGCTTCTCGAATTCGTCCTTCTCAGAGAAAATCACCACACTGTCTGCAGGTAAATGGGGAGAATGAGGGTGAGGGGAGGGAGCTGGAGTCAGTCCCTGGCTCCGAACTCATCCTTCCCTGCTTCCCTTCCCTTCCTCTTTAGCAGGCCTGCCCGGTGACTAAGCCACACCACGCCCAGGGCGCAATGTGGGGGCCCCGACGCCTCTTCCTGCAGCCCTGTTCTGGATGGCATGAGAGCACCAGCAGTCGGGAGGCCAGGCTTCCAGGTGTTGGCGAGCGGGGCACATAACCTCCACCCTGGGATGGACACCCGTGCTGTGGGGGTTCGGTCTGCAGACCTTGGGCCTCTTTCTTCTCCTCTTCCTTGCTCACTTGGGCTTCTACACTCTTCACTGGGTGGCTGGTACAGCAGGCTGGTTGGAGAAAGGGAAGGGTGTGAGGAGCATGACTCATGCCCTGGGTAAGCTGACAGAATGGAACCGTCAGTGAGCAAGCGTTTGTGGGGAGGGAGTGGGGGCACTGGGGAGCAGTCACCTGGAGCAGAAGGCTTTGTCTTCATGATGTAGAACATGATGATGAGGACAATGGCTATGGCCATGATGAAGATGGTGGACATGGCAATGATCAGGGCTGTGGCCAGGTGCCCTTGGCCTGAGAGCTCTGCTGGAGACAGGGAGAGAGGGCAACACGGGGCTCAGGACTCCCTACAGGTGCCCCTGAGCCCCCACAGAATCCACCCTCTGAGAAGACCGCGGTGCCTGTGGCAGGGGACACTTCCAGGGGACCCTCAGAATCCCAAACCCTACAGGTTTGCCTTGACCATCATGGCTGGCCTTAACTGAGGCTGATCCAGACTTATCTGGAACACCATGCTTCGGGTTTGCTCAGTTGTTCCTGAGGTGCTCGCTCTTGGTGTTACTACTTTGGGAACCCTGGGCGAGTTGGGATGCAGAGAGGAAGAAGCCCACGAGCAAGTGTCCTGAAGACAGTTCCATCCAAGCAGAAGTCACCTCGGAGGGCCAGAGATTCTGTTCTTGGTTTGGCGCCATCCTGTGTCTCATGCAATTTCAACCTAAGCGTCATAATCAGACTCCCAGGGCAAAGGTGGTGAAGGGGCTGCCGCGCCTCTTCCTCTGTTCTGTCACCTCACCACGGGGGTCCCTTCCTCAGGGGGCTCTCGCTGTTTTCCCTAATAACGCCTGTCGTCAACATGTGCAATGCCCTGCTACTTGTTCTCATTCGCTGAACTAACAAACAGGATTCTGGCCTCACGAGGCAGGATCCAGGTGACCTACCATTCCCACAGGAAAGGGACACGATCTAAAGCACCGGGGACCCTCTGAGGGCGGCCGAGGCCATTTTGGAAAGAGGCACCAGAGCTCGTAGCCCCAGCGCTGCCAGTTTCCACGCCTGTCCTCCTGGGTGGGGTGTGTCTGAAGAAATCATCATTTGGATGCCAGGTATGGATGATATAAGTGCTTTAATATTCACTGTGTTGTGCACTATTCCCCGCCCCCCCCCCCCACTTGGGGCCTGGTGGAAATGAGACTCTTATGTCCTAGCAAAGTCTTCCAGCTTTGATGCTCTGTGAATGTGCAGGGTCAGGTTTGGGGGGTGACACTGAGGCTAGCGTGCTGAGTGCACTGTGGGACTCCAAAGGGCCCCCGAACCTCACTGAGACCTGGGCCTTAAATATGCTTAAATAATGGATGGCACTGAAACAGCCTGATGGTAGCAGGGACCAGCGTGAGGCCTTGATCTGAAAGAGACGGGGGCCTCAGGGGCCTCCACCCTCCTCAAAGCCTTTCCATCCCTAAGGGATCAGGGAACAAAATGTAGTTCTTAGAAACGAATATTAAAGTGTTGGGCTCTGCAGGTTGATCTGAAAGCCAGCAACAGAATGGCTGTGGCCCAGCCACGGCCGGGAAACTTGTTCTCTGCCACGCAACAGCCTGTGCCCTGAGCACCACCCTGCGGCTCCAGGATGTGCCTTTCTTGCCAGTGTGTTCTTTTTTTTTTTTAAGATTTTATTTATTTATTTATTTGTGAGAGAGAGAGAATGAGAGATAGAGAGCACGAGAGGGAAGAGGGTCAGGGGGAGAAGCAGACTCCCCGCTGAGCAGGGAGCCCGATGCGGGACTCGATCCCAGGACTCCAGGATCATGACCTGAGCCGAAGGCAGCCACCCAACCAACTGAGCCACCCAGGCGCCCGATTTTATTTATTTATTTGACAGAGAGACACACAGCAAGAGAGGGAACACAAGCAGGGGGAGTGGGAGAGGGAGAAGCAGGCTTCCCGCGGAGCAGGGAGCCCGATGCGGGGCTCGATCCCAGGACCCTGGGATCATGACCTGAGCCGAAGGCAGATGCTTAACGACTGAGCCACCCAGGCGCCCTCTTGCCAGTGTGTTCTAAGGGACCCCAGGCGCCCATGGAGAGATCGCTTCCACTCCTTGCAGACATCACGACCAACTTCCCGCTACTGGGGGCACCGAGGAGCCCCCGCTGCCATTCCTCATAGCTGCTCCCAGCCTCCCTCTTCGCTTTCACCCAAGCGCCTTACTTGTAACAGCTGGCTAGCTGCAGAAGCACGGGGTCCTTACCTTTGTGGGCGTGCTGGAAGGGAGAGAGGGTGCTGCTGCCAGAGGTGCTGGGGAAGTTGGCAGAGACTCCGGAGCTGGCTCCTGTACCTGCAAGGGGAACCCAGTCACCTCGTGTTCCTCGGGATGACCTGGACAAGCCCCACCTTCAAGGATGGAAAGCAAGGTGCAGCCGCAGAGCCAGGGGATCTAGAATTCTAGATTACACAGGCGCTGCAGCAGGGGGTGGCGGGACAGGGGGACACTTTCATTTCTTAGCATGTTTCGTAATCCCTAAAGAGCACTCTGACCTCCCAAGAGTTATTCTTCAGGGAGAAGACACATAGGTAAATCTGCTGAGACTAAACAGTGCTGCCTCACCAACTCAATTTTTCTATGAATAGAGGTAAAATATAGGCCATCTATAGAGATGAGAAAAGCCCGCATATATATACAGAAGGATTGGGGGGAAATAATACTTGAGAAATTTCTTCAATTACTTAAAATAAGAATGTAGTTTTAATACTTTTTCTAGTTATAAAAATAATATGTGCCATTATTAAAAATCAGGAGAAAAAGGGAACACAAGAAAGAAGTAAAAGGGAATCACTGATAGCCTCACTACCTGAGGTTGACAATTTGGTGTGTTTTCCTTTAGGATTTTCCCGTGATTCATTTTTTTAAATACTTGTGACCAAAGAGTTTAAGAGCAGACATGAACTTTGCTTTCCCTCAAAACTGTGACTCATAAAACTTCCCTTCTCTATTTAAAAAGTATCACTTTAGCAAGGGTGAAATGGAAGCTGGTTTTGTGACCAATCCCGTCACTAAGGAATTGTTCGGTTAAAACAAAGCAAAAATGTTCTGTCACAGAAAACACGGCATCCTGATGGTCAACCTTCCTTTAGGTGGGACTTGAGTTTTGCTGTTGATAAAAATGATCCTATTTCAAATACGTGTCCTTCTGTCTGGCTTTTGTCCGTACTCATGCTGGAGTAATCCGTGAAGTGGGCCTGCACACTCCCAAGTAAGGGCGGGTGAGCTGGCCTCCCCAAAGTCACACACGTGGTCCCCACAGCCCTCCCAGCAAGGAGGAGTGGTGCTGACTCCGGGACCTTGGTCAGCCGGCCTCCAGGCTTCCATGAGAACCATCTCTAACAGGGACGTTTTCTTTAAGAGACATTTCTAAGGAGAAACCACACTCTGTGGCTGGTATTTCTAAAGCCGCCTGTGCACACAGCATGGGGCAACTCAGAGACGGGGACCATAGCCAACCGGGTGAGGCAAGTCCTGCTGAATTAGCCACACATTTGCGTCCAGTAAGGAGACAAGGTCACGGGACAGCAGGGCCAGAAACATCTGCTCCTTATACCTTTTCACAAATAGAAATCTCTGCAACTAAAATAAAAGGAAGCTTGGGAGGGCCCGGGGACAGGCTAAGGACTGGCTCCTGGGGTAACTGCACTTCTGTGAGGTGCTGTAGGTCTCACAGCCTCCCCGTCGGTCACTTGGGTTGTCTGGGAATTTAACTGTTGGCCGCTGGGTGAGAAATGTCATCTGCAGGCTCTTTAAACAACGCATGTACCGTGGGGGAAGCACTGAGGGCTGTGAGGCACACACCCTCCCCAGCAACTCCAGGATCGGGGCTGGCCCGGGAGCCCAGGAAGTCTTGTTGGCCAGCATGGGAGCTGCTGGTGCTGCCCTGCCGCGCTTCCAGCCCGTGCTGGGAGCCGTCTTGCCAAGTCTGAGCTCTCAGCACCAGAGGTGAGTCTCCTCTCTGGGGACTTGCTGCTTCTGGAACCCAGGGACCTAGCTTCTCTGGAGCTCCTGGCCTTGGCCCCTTCACCTGTCTTTGTCCCTGAGGGGCTGCCTCAGATGTGGACGCTGGTGGGCCCAGAGCACCGCACGATGGATGGGGAGGTCTCTACCCGCCGCAGGGCACCGTGAGTTCTGTGGTTCCTGCTTCTTTCCTTCTTTCTCAACTGCTGGTCGCCGGGACCACTTCTTAGCTCTCCCACTATAAGAGAGAGGCGTGCTGAGGGGTGCAAGCAGGCCTGCCCGTGGGGCCCGAGTGCTCACCAGCACGGGCTGCCCTTGAATGAATGCAGACTGCAGAGCTGACCTGCTCAGAACAGAGGCTGCCCACCGTACTCCCAGCACCCCACCCCGCCCCAGCTCTCGGGGCCCATGGTCACACCCCTTTCTCCTGGAGTGGCTGCCCCCTGAGGCCATGGGAAGCAGGAAAGTGGGACCCGGGAGTGGGACGGTGTCTGAAGCAGGAACGCTGCCGATGACAGTTGGAAGGGGCAGTTCTTCTGCTTCCTCTGCTGGGTCTTCTGGCGCCTGTGGTTCTAGGGAGTGGCCCTGCTGGTGACCAGAGCTTAGAGAGGTTTCTTTGCCTTTCTGGAGCACAAACAGAAGCTTTCTTGGGCCCCTTACCCCTAAACTCACAACAACTCTCTGCTTTTCCATTTAGCCTTCTCCCCTGGCCTCAGAACCAGTGGCCCCTTGGGAGGTGCGGGTGGGAAGGTGCGCCTCCTTCCCCCCATCCCTGCGAGGGCTTGTGCGCCTGGCACCCTGGGGCTGGAGGCTCTGCTGTGTGCAGACCACGTGGTTCCCCTCCAGTGTGGCAAAGGAGGCTTCAACGGCATCCAGTCAAGTGGGGAAAGTGACATGGGGCAGGGCTTCAAGCAGAACCTGCTTTCCTTTTTTAAAAGCAAACACGACACTGAAAATAAAGCTAATCTATCTGTTCGGTAAGGAACTCAGGGGAGCTAAAGCTGTTCCTCAGGGAAAAAAAATACCGTGGGCTCTGTTTGCGGATTTGTCATCTTTGTCTCTTCTTGTCTCTTTCTGCCAGGGCTTGCTGGCCAAGGCTGGGGGACAGGGGCTGGGGGCACACATGCGCCCAGGCCTGTGGTCCAGGGAGGAACAATGAGAACAGCCTGGCTGCATACTGACTTCACGAGACGCCTTTGCGTCCGGCTGGCAGGGCTGCTTCCCAGGCGCCAGCAGCAAACACTGCGTGCGGGCCGGGGCACATCGGTATCACACACCCCACCACCCCCAGTGGGCGGCTCCTGTCCTCGCTCAGGTGGCAAGCAAGGCCTCCACCCTGGTGTACGACATTCCCCCTGAACTGAGCTCCAGCCAGTGTCAGCTGAAGGGCCCTGAGCTGCAGGCACTGGGCGGGGTGTGCTTGGCTGTTCTGTGATCCCTGAGCCGACCAGGGGAACGTTCTGTTCTGAGCACATCCCACAGTGAGAGGGAGGGTGGGCGGGAAGACCACATGATTGGAGGTCTATCTCCGCGCACAGGTGCCCTAGGACAGCATGCCACGGCCACCAGCTCCCTGCATGGCAAGTTCCCTGTTCCAGGCCCCGCTCTGCTCTCATGAATATTTGGTGTCTGGACACTTTCCTTCTGCTCCAGTATGTGCCCTGTGTTTTGGGTTCATTTGGCCTCCTTGGAACAGATCATTAGATGAGAATGTTCTTCAGTTTTTGTTTCTGTTGGGTGGTCAACTACTGATCCATCTTACCCTGCATGATGCTCCCACTGGAGCCTCGCTTTGAATAAGCAGGGAGGAGATCCTGCAGGATAGGAGTAAGGCAGGGTTAATGAAAACTGTAGTCCCAGAAAATCGCCATGAATTGCCACACAAAGTCTACATTAAAACGAAGGTAAGTAGGGCCTGGCTCTGCTTAGCTCACTGGTGTGTTCGGAGCAGCACTGACTTGGGACAGTAGGTACGGGAGGTGGCAGGCTCCGAACGGTGTTCGTCCACTTTCCTCAAAAGTATTTTGAGAACTGTAAGCACGTGGCTTAATGCAGTAATACTTCTATTCAATGTGATGACAGGATTTACGGGGCCTTTGAGGTTTGTTAATCCACACAATTTATAAATATGCCATATGTATTAAAGACTGCTGGGATTCTCTCTGCATGGGGCAAGTAGGTTGGATTTTCAGGAGTGATTTGTTTCTTGATTCTTAGAGTTGTTGGCGAGGGTGCCCCCAGGCTGCTGCGTCGGCCCAGCGCCCCCCAGTGGCGGATCCTGGAACAATGGGCAGAGCCGTTTGAACCCCGCTGCTGAAAGTGAGGTTCCCCGGGAGCTTGCTGGAAATGCGGTCTGGGCATCCACCCCAGACGTGCTGCGCCAGGATCTCTTTTATAACAGGACCCTGGTGACAGGTGTACGCATTCCAGCTTGAGAAACACTGTGTTAGAAACAGCTGGCCTTTGGGGATGCCAAAGCTTCACACTTGAGTGGCATCACTGTTGGGCATTGCACGATGGCATCTGAATGAAACTTGCCACAGCTTTCCTGAGCAGGCTTTTCCAAAAGGTGAGTCCAGGGCTCGGTGACACAGGGCTCGGTGTCAAAATAAAAACGAAGAGGAGTGATGATAAACATGATGCTGATGGGACAAGTGAGTCCCCAGGCCCAGAGCTGCCTCACTGGTCCCTCCAGCGCTCTGTGAGGGAGGGCTCCTGCTAGCTGGGCCCAGGGGAGCTGACGGAGGACAGGAGGTTGGCAAGTGAGGTGCAGGCCGCGTGGGCCTGGGAGACCCGGGGTGGAGCCATGCTCACAAAGCCACAACACGGATTCCGTTATGAGACAGCTCTCAGGCGTGAGTTCTCAGGACTTTATTTCTCAGGAAAGAAAAAAACAGACAGTGCTGGTTCACCAAGTGGATCTTGTTCTTTGCCTTCACTGAAAAATAACTGAAGGGCTTCTCTCTCTTCCATCTGGTGCTGATTTCCAGGACAGACAGCAATGGGATGGAAGTGGCTTCTGTCACCACAGCGTCCAGAAGGAAGCCCTATGCTTTCCTGATGGGCACGTCACAAGAGGTGGGGGAAGGGCAGGCCCCTCTCTCAAGGCTCTTCAGCACTCTAGGGATGCCCGGAGCGTCTGGGGGCCTCCCTGTTGCACTCTAGTGGTTTAGAGAAGAGTCCTCATTTACACTGGCTTTGTGTCTTCAGTACTCAAGGTATTTGGGGCGTGGATGTGGCAGCCCTATTGACACACTGAGAGGATATAATTTTCTCAATTGTCCAGGAGAGGAAACAGACACGGAGGGAGGTTTCGAGGCTGGCAGGGTATTTTAGGGCCCCTGAGTACCAGGCTCCGTAGTGACTTCCACTAACTTCTGTTTTCATCAGGATTGACAACTGGCCCAAAGGCAAGATGGTTGTAACCAATGGCCCCATCGCCCAACACGTCACAGAGCCGCGTAGAGAAGCAGCTCTTCTTCTAAGATGGAAGCAGCCACCGCTCAGAGAGACAGGGAGTGCCCCTGAGGGTAGGGGAGAGCTGAAGCAGCTCCCGGCTGGCCCTCTCTACTGAGGAGCTCCCAACCCGGGCGCCTGGGGCTCATTCCCACACGGGTGTTTTCCCGGGAGCTGCCTGTTGCCCCTGGCTGTCCCAGACCTAATACACACACTGCATGCTTTCCCCAGGGTCTGTGCCAAGTTCTCTGACCATGGCTTTGCAGTCCGCTACTCATTGACTCAGGGTAGCTTTGTGCAGCAAGGACCCAGGGAAATCACATCAAAACCAGAGGAAGTGTCTCAGGTTGGAGGCAAAGGCGCTCTTGACCACTGACTGCAGGCTCAGGAAGGTACCTGGTGGGGCTCGGGCAGCAAGCTGACATCAGGGTCGTGAGGCATGAAGTTTCTCTCAGTTCCTGGCTTTCCTGGGGTGACGCTGTCAGGGGCAGCCCTGGGGGTTTGAGTCCCAGGGTCTTCATGGAAGCTGTGGTCATAACCAGATTTTCTGGTTCTATCTGCTGCTCCCGAGCAGGAGTTTGGGGTCAAAAGATCTCTGGACTGAGGATGCCTGCAGGGGGAGGTGCAGAGCCCATAGCTGGAGAGAGTAACACTCATGTCCACACTTGAGGCCCTGACCCAGGCTCCATGCACCATGTCACTCGACAAGGCCTAGCCAGTTGCCTCTCCCCATTTCCCATACAGACACACAGAGCTCTGGTGGCTTGCACCCTGACTCTAAGTTTCAATGGTTTTGCTGGCCTCTTCTAGATCTGGCTGCTAAGAACCTGCTATGAGGCCTTACTGGGAGCTGGTTTTCAGTTAAGCAATTCAGGGCTGGGGGTTAGGGCAGGGATGCACTCATTCTCGAAGTGTCCAGGGCTCAGGGACTTTGTTTCTCTCCTCATGCGATGGACCCCACTATCAGATGGCGAGAGGAGGGAGGTGCGCCTCCAGCCGGCCAGGTTATGGAAGTCCCGCACAGGGACAAACCTCACGTGTGAGCTGTTTTCCAGGTTCCACAGGCAGAGCCTTTTCAACACGGTGGGGAGTGTCTGACATCTCAGTGAGGGGCTCCAGCCCAGAACTGTCTGGTATTGAATCGGCTGGGATCCCCCAGCAGGAGGCAGTGGTACGGTGGCTGACGTCACCACGGGAACTGCTGGCAGCCCGGAGCCCTTGGGCCTCCTCTAATTTGTGAATTAATGAGCATGTGGCTGGGTACAAAGCTCCGCTTTAAAGACACGCGAACCCGTTACTGCGGGCGCATCTACTGAAGCAATCTAGGAAAGAGAAGGTGCCCCCCTCCCCGCCGGCAGCCCTGACACATGCTCACCTGGGTACCTCCTCCCCCTGAACCTGAAGGCGAAGGAGAGGGAGAGGCGGTCCCCCTCTCTTCCTGCTCTCCTTCCCCACTTCCCACCGCTCTTAAGGGGCAGGCCCTTGGTCTATTCTCCTGGGCAGGATTATTGGGAGCACATGGGGTGGGGGCCTTAGAGAGAGCCAGGAGAGGCAGGGTCCCCACACAGCCCCTCTTCTGCCCTGCAGTGGAAGTGGGGCTGGGGGAGAGCAAGGAAGGTCTCCTGCGGCCCAGGGACCAGCTGTCCGCCCACCCATCTCCATGGCATCTCTCCAGACCACAGCTCCAAGTGACCACACACTACATTCTCTGGAGCAGAGTTCCTTTCCTCACAGATACATGCAGTGAGAATCAACAAGAATGAAAACATGAAAGAAACAGCCCATGGTGGGACTCTGAACTTGTGAGCCTCGCTGCTCACATGGGCTTCGTGGAATCCGGTTCACTCACTGTGACCGCTCCTCACCTTTCCCTCGGCCTTACCTGGTTTGAAAACACGTGTATGAGAACTTAAAATCGTCTAGCGCTTTGCAGGACTTTGCACAACACCTTGGCAACTGTGATCTCATTGGTTTTTCCATGAATTGCATGAGAGGGGTGTTCAGATTTTTGTGACCCCACGTTACAGATGCGAAAACTCACGCCAGGTGGCAGGTGACTGACCTAAGTCTCTCACTAAGCTCGGCTATAGCAAACCTCCCTGCAGGGACCTGTGCCAGGCTGGCCAGCCCACGGGAGCGTTTTTGGTTTTGCCCTCGCTGTAGTTCATCTGTCCAGGTGCTGGGACTGGCTTCCTTCTACAACCCCGGGTAAGGAGAGATACAGTGGGGAAGAAGTACTGCTCGGACAGAAGGACAAGAGCACTCACATTCCTTGGTGTTGGGGGGTGCCAGGAGGCAGGAGTAGCAGACCATGCCGTAGATGTTCCTGGGTCTGTTTTCCAACATGTAGTAGCTGCAGGGAAGGAGAGACAAGACAGAGCAGGCGGCTGAGCCAGGTGTCACACAAGCAAGTACTGACCACTTGGCATGCCCATGCTTCAGGCATGATCCAAGCATGATCCAAGCATCACCAAAGGCAGGAATGAGACATATGCTGTGGGAATCAGGAGCTCTCAGAGCCAGCCGCCCATTTTGACCACTGAGTTTCCTTGGGAGTTTTCAGCATGACTTGAAATGGAACATTCTTTTTCCAATATTGGGCCATTTTGGGCCTTTAATCTCCTCTCCTGTTTGGTTCTTTTCACTGATGGATTTGCTCAGTGTGTGTGAGCGATCATTTTCATTCACATCAGTCACTGGAGTATCTGCCAGTAGAACCTGTTTAGCTCTCTGGGTGTCCCAGCCAGTGAGCCAGAACCCCCCGGAGGAGGGGCACCCCCTGACCCAGCGAGTGCCTGTCTCAGAGCCTCTAGCCTGGTGGGATTACTGGCAAATCCATCTATGAGCCCCTCGGACACTGGCACCTCTCAGACCTCCTGCACACCTGCTGAGACTGGACAGAGCTGGCTGCAGCGGACAGAAAGATAGCATCAGCATTAGGAGAGGTCAGCGCAGAAGGCCTTCAGCGTGACCTGACACACAACCAGGTGGTAACTGAGATTGCTTTGCTTCCCTTCCAGTAAGCACCTGGCCCAGACACTGCCTAAGGGCAAGTGCTCACACTGGGGTTGTACACACTGAAGGAAAAGGACAAATCATTCACAGTAAGACGGTGAAGTCCTTTCCCCCTATTGATGCCACATCTTTTGAGCTTCCCAATGTCAATGAGGCAGCCCCGGTGACCACGCTAGCTCTCAGAATGCCCTCCCCGCAGAGCTCTGCACCCTGGGTCAGAGCTCTCCACAGGACCTGCCACCCCACCCACCCAGCAGTCCTCGCTTCCGGCGCCCACAGCTCAGGCTCCTTTCCACCTGCAGGTTTTGGCACTTCCCTTGGCGCGTGCCTGCTTTCCATAAACACACATTCGGCAGCAATCATGGAGCCATTTATCACATCATGAGAGGTCGATTAAGTAACGTGAGCTGGTGCCAAAGTTTTTCCTCATTACAAGTCAAGAGATGAAAAATCCCTCTCCACTATTGGATTTTTCCATGGTTGGTTTTTAATCTCTGTTTTATTAGCCGTGCACACTCAGGCCCCCACTGATGGCAGGGTAGGTGGCAGCGTGGCAGGAGTGCTGGGGGGGGGGTCTTTGGACTCCAGCCGCCACGAGCTGGACCATTACCAATAACAGTATGATCGTAATTGCCTGCCCTTCCTCAGGGCCTTTTATCCTCAGACCCCTGTGTATCTCGTAAACATTAATTAACCAATCTCAAAACACCCCTCAGAGAAGCCACAACAGCCAGTTTTCCAGTTAAGCCTTCTGGAAAAAGCCTCTCTCAAACACACATTCTGCCACCCTCCAGAAGCCATCTGTGCCTGGGACGCAGGAAGCGACAGTGCGGTGGCCTATGGTGCGTCTGCTCCCACGAGGTGGCCTGTGTCTGTGTGTGGCCTCACGGGGGTGACAAGCTCCAGGTCAGCTGCCAGATGCCTAACATCCAGACCCAGTGCTGGCACTTGGGGCTCTGAGTTACTCCTCACCTCCACCTCCAGCACAGTCCCCTTCCAGGGCAGGACTGTCTCTGTGGCTGGCCTGGGAGTCCCTCAGGCCAGCCCCGTTCGTATCTGCATTCCTGGTACTTGCGCTGGGTACTGAGGAGGGACAGTTTCAGGCCAACATTGGCTGGAAAAATAAATGAATGAGATGAAGTTCTTCTCCGTGGAAGTTCAAAGTTCACAGACTGACAAAAGCCCTGAGGGAGTTCTGTGCCTCTTTCCTCCCTTTTTAAAAAGCAGAACCACAGCTAGGCCCACCCCGTTTAACCCCGGGTGCTGAGCTCTGTCTTAGATGAAGAGTGCAGCCACCCAGCGGGCGGAGAACCCCCGGCTCAGGACAGCTCCTCGCTGGCTCTGCAGGGCGCCCACACTCTGTGCCACACTCCGTGCATGCCAGGGGGCCAGTCTGCTGCCCCTCCTCAGCACACGGCTCCTTCTCGCTCTCATCCCGAGTGGCTCTGGCTGACTCCCACGGGGCTTGCAACAGCGGCAGCTGGGCCTCCTGTCCTCACCGTGCATCTGGACCAAGATGTGTGACGTATTAAATAACTTAGCCAAGAAACAAAATACTGAAAGGCAATCCATTTAAAAAAATGAGTCGGCTCAGGACGGCCATTGCGGGATCTCACTGCCGGAGTTGGTGTGTTGACTACCTCACCCATTTCCCGGCACGCACTGCTGCGCAGAACATTCTCAAGGTGAGAGTTTCCTCCTCAGGACTAACCTCAGCAACTCTTGCTATAGCTTACACCCAGATCTCTCTCTCACCCTGGCTGTGCAGGAGTGCAGAGTAATTGTTTGGGTGCCTATCTGACAGATTCCCATCAGCTTGAAGCCAGGTGTTCATTCAGGGGCCCGAGTCCCGCCAAAGATTGTCGTCGGGTCCCTCCCTCTTTCTGTAGAGGCCTAATTTCCTACACTTGCAACTATGTTTAGACTTTTCTTAGTTCTTCTTTGTTTCTTTCCTCAAAGGTTGATTAAGGTAAGTAGACCAAGATAAAACAGGTTAAACAGGGCCTCTGGGGGCGCCGGGGTGGCTCAGTCGTTAAGCGTCTGCCTTCGGCTCAGGTCATGATCACAGGGTCCTGGGATCGAGCCCCACGTTGGGCTCCCTGCTCAGTGGGAAGCCTGCTTCGTTCTCTCCCTCTGCCCCTCCCCCTGCTCATGGGCGCACGCGCTTGCGCTCTCTCTCAAATAAATAAGTAAATAAAATCTTAAAAAAAAATAAACGGGGCCTCTAGAATTTTCTATGAAGGGACTGACTTCCTCCATGTCAATAGATATATAGATTTCCCCCAAAGATTTCCTTTCCTAAGCTTGTAATGGATGCCACTGAGCCATCGGATGCTCCATCTTCCCACACAATGTGGCATGCAGAACCGTGTCCTTCACCTGGTCCTCCAACCACCCCAGAATGCCTTATTTGAAGGGAGGAGTCGTGAAGTAGAAGCCGGCCAGCAGAAGGTGAGATGGGCCACAGCCAGCCGTAGGTAAGATGATGCCCTGGCAGGGGGCGGAGGCAGGCTACGAAATCCAACCTGAGCTGCCTTCCTATTCTCCTGTTTTTGTTCCTGGTCCTCCCACGCAGCCTTGCTCAACAGGAAAGCCGTGTATGCTCATTGTTTTGCCAGCATCTCGGCCACATACTGATGCACAGCAGAGAGGGCAAAGAAGGAGCGCGTGCCTGCCAAACCACAAGGGGGCCAGGGCCAAGGCAACCTGTGGCGTTAGGAAGACAACTCTGAGGTGGCTTGCATTGCGGCCTGGCAGCCACCTGGACTCAGGAATGAAAGAAGCCTTTCACCGAGCAAACGGGGCCAGCTTACCAAAACCCCTTGTAATCCTCCCCCATGACACAGCATGAGAGCTTTATTTGTTCCCTAGACCGAGGGCAGGTAACAGGAGGTAGGAGGCCCTGGCGCCCTCCCTGACATGCACCAAGCTCCACAGAGCCCGTAGGAGGAGGCTGGGGGACCAGAGATAAAGTAGGGCCTTTCGTGGCAGTGGCCTCAGGGGTTGGGAATGACAAGGCCAAACTGGAAAGCAACTACATCTTCATATCTGTGGAGCAATGTGAGGACGCACTGAGATGCAAGTGGAAATGTGTCTCCAGCACAGCGGCCTTCACCCACTCAGCAAGTGTCCTGGGGGCTGGAGACAAGGCGTGGAAGAATCGGGTTGCTATTCTCACGGAGCAGGGAGGGAGTTACTCAAGACTTCAGAGCTGGGAAGACCCTTTTAAGAGTATAGATGTCAGCCTCCCCACTAATTCTACAGATAGTTACCCTTATCTTTTGAAGACTTTGAGAGGCAGGGCATGCACAACAATTCCACTGGCAATCTTCTTTCTGGAAAATATGTGAGGGCCAAGGAAATTGTCTTCACTGCCACAGAACAGCCTTTCTCGTGACCACGCTGGCCCCTGCCTACACGGCAGGGTTAGGTACTGCACTGGTCCCAGGGCTGTGCTTTCTGGCTAGAAAGTCTCTGTGGATCTAGGTAAGAATGAAACAGGTTGCTCAAAGTTCGTAATCACTGCCCCTTTTAGACCATCTGGAATAATATCACGGTTGAATCTCACAGACCACCGTGGGCTGCACGCATGGTCTGAGCCACGGCTGCATGGCTGGGTCAGAGCCAGCAATGCTGTGGGTGAGGCTCCGTTCTGCACCTACCCTTGCTTCTCCTCTATGAAGCTGCCTCACCATCGACTCCCACACCATTCATGCAGAGATGCCTTCCAGATCCGACCTGAGCTTCTGTCAGATACCTTGGTCTTGATGTTACAACCACCCCAAATGCACACGTGGGTCTTCCATCTTCCCTCCACCTTCCCTCCACTAATCCTAATCCTCCTGTATCCCACCTCTTAGCAAATGGCATCACTGTCCACACAGCTGGCTGAGGGTGACATCTGAGATTCCTCTTCAAGATCTCCTTCCCCACACCCCACATGCCCTCGGTCTACAACTCCAGTCCATGCTATCTATCTTCCAATGAACTCAAATTTTCCCTCTCCTTCCAACACCCAAGGCTCCCATCTTGCCCCAGTTCTCACAACGCCCCTGGGCTCCCATGTCTTCCCTAGCAGCACATTTTCCTCACTGCTGCCTCTTTCCAAGGTACTGCCCAGTTGTGTTCTCTACCAGCTTAAAGTCTGCATGGTGGCCCGCTTCAGCATTGAGCTAAAAGACCAGTGTCTTCAGCATCATTTTCCAGAGCCATTTCCCCTCTGGCCCCTGCGCGCCTTGCTGGTTTCTCCACACCCCCATGGGTGCGCCTTCCGTGCTGCCACAGGGACCCTCAGCTCCACATCCCATCAGGTGGCTTGCCCCTCTGAGCTTTGCTCTGAACATCTTGGAGAGCTCTGTCCTAATTCTTAGCCTGACTAACTCCCACCATCCCAACGTCACCCTGAGAAGTCTTCTGAGACCCCTCCCAACCCACCTCCCTAACCATGAAGGGAGGGGTCCTTCCTGGACTTCTAGAACACCATGGGCACCTATCACACTACACTGTGGTCACTGATTTCCTTGTCTCCCTACCTCACAGAAAAGAGGAACCATGTCTTTCCTCTTTGCCTCACTAGTTCCGACTTGGTAGGCTCTTAATTCATGTGTTTACTAAAACAAATGCAGGAGCAATTAGGCTAGGTTGCGAATGTCAGGTCAGCTTCTCACACTGAGAGGCTCTCAGAATGAGTTGAGATTTTGAAAAGAGGATTATTTGCTTTCCAAGGTGAACATGGCAAGGGGTGCATGCTTTTCCTTGGCACACCCATAGTTAGTCCATGAAACTCTGTCATGTCATGCCTGCACCAATAAAAACTAGTGAAGATGAAGTTCAGGAAGCAGACACTTTCTCAGAGCCTAATTCTACTCACTTAATAGGAAGATCATACTGAATTTCTCTCATTCAAGCACAGCATCTGTGCAGAACAGTCTCTCAATGGACGCTTGTACCATTCATGGGGGTGGGGGGATGACTCGATTCTGCTTCTTCTAACATGTTCCTTTTGGTTGATCCCCCACAATGCAATAACCTCAACAAATAAATTGAAGACTGTCAGCTACAAAACTTTTATTTTTATCCTATTATTCAAGAGACAGTCTAATATCTTCCCTAGGTATAGCTATCTGCTTTTTTGCATATTGAAAAATAAGCCTCTGCAGTAAGGTTCCCCTGCTTTCTTTATTCATTTGACCATTGTGTTTGAATCACACGCTGTCTCAGGGACACTGACATGGAGTTGTCAAGCAGATATTTGGAAATGCAGGTCTGTGGCTCTGGAGGTAGGTCTGAACTGAAGACAGAAAACTGGAGAGAGTAGGGGTGGGGGATGGTCACCAGCAGAAAGATGGAAGGTGAAAGCCATGGGAATCAATGCTTCTCTGTAACAAATTTGAACTAAGGTTAATTTCTGCAAGTTTGTAAGATCTCCTCATTTTAAACTATTATTCAATTCCAATCTATTCTTAGGTTGGTGGGTCTTTCTGCCTTCTTTGTATTTCCTTCTTCTTACAGACTAATGCCTCATGTTCTTATTTGAATATATCCTTCTTACTTTCTTTCTTCTCTTAATTCAGTACAATGATCCAGAGAAGATAATGTGCACAAGTGGGTTGCAAAGTATAGTGTGCCATTCAAAATACCACTGCTACCACGACCACCACCAGCACCTCCATCATCAACACCACCCATCATCACCACCACCACTGCTTCCATCATCACCACTGTCTCCGTCACCACCACCACCACTTCCGTCATCACCATCACCTCCTCCACCATCACCTCCATCATCACCACCACTGCCTCAACCATCACCACTGTCTCCATCATCACCACCACCATCATCATCACCACCATTACCTCCATCATCACCACCATCTCCTCCAGCATCACCTCCATCATCACCACTGTCTCCATCATCACCACCACTGCCTCCATCACCAGCACCTCCATCATCACCATCATCACCTCCATCATCACCACCCCTGCCTCCATCATCACCATCACCACCACGGCTTCTATCATCACCACTGTCTCCATCATCACCACCACTGTCTCCATCACCACCATCACCACCTCCATCATCACTACCACCACCACCACCTGTACTACCTGTATCACCTCTACCACCCTGTAGCCTTTGTCACTGCTTTGTTTTTATCTGTAGCCCTTGCAAGTACTGTGCTGTGTAGCCACTAGAGGGAGGCAGCAGCAAGAGCCATGGCTTGGTAGATCCTGGGTGTCAAGGCTGCCCTTCCCTCTCCGAGGCAGAACTTGCTAATGTGTCCTGCCGGTCAGAAGGAAGATTTTATCTTTCTTCCATGCTAACTACATTTTCACTTTGCTTTTTTGGGAAAACTTTTGATACATAACCGAATTGTAGCGGAATTATAGGTACCACATGATTCACATATTCCTATTAATAGCTTTTACCCTCAGATTTTTCCAGAATACCAAAAACACTAGATTTAGACAGTGTATTATACAGTATATATGTTTTCTTTTCTTCAAAGCATTCCACATGTGTTATCTCAAAGTATTCAACAAATTTGTTTGATTTGGGTTGTCAGAAGATATTATTATGATTATGACTAACATCCACTTAAGAGACATGGAAGCTGAGCCTGGGTGGGCCGCCCATCCTCTAGGTGGCAGGACTGGCCAACCTAGACCCCATGCTTCCTGACTCCAGACAGGTGCCCCCCTCCCTGTGGAGCTGCCCCTCGTAGAGCCAGCAGGAGTGACGCTCCTTTGTAGTCTGAGGTCTGGGGCCTCGCCAATGAGACATTCAGGGCTTTCTGCAGAAAGTGTCCTGGGGTGAGGCCTGGCAGCAGCCATGCTTACCCAGGGAGACACGGCCCACACTCAGCATCATTCTCCATGTCCCCCGGCGTCAGCACGGTGGCCCGGAAGAAGCCCTCGCAGTCTTTGTGGCGCCTGCATATCTGGTAGCCTCCTTTGGAAAACTTCTCCGCCGGGCAGGGGACACAGCCATAGTCCTCATCTTTGGTGCCGTAGCCACAGGACTGGCCGAGGAACAGGACAGAGGAACACAGGTGAGTACGCCAGCTGTACCTGCCATGACTGGACCTGTAGTCCTTGGGGCACACTGGATGCATTGTACACGCCGGGCACACTGGCTGTTTCCAGAAGCTTCTGTTGTTGGGCTTTGGCTCCCTGACCTCTCCTAACTGCAAACTCCCTGTGCCTCCAACTCTGAGCTCCTTTCCCCAGTGCTCCTGGGCTTCAGACGCTGCCCTGCTCCCAAGGGTCCCTGAATAAATTCAGCCAGTTAAGGGGATGACCTGCCAGTGACACAGCCAGTGGCTTCTGACGTTCTTGGCTCTCTACAAGAGCCCTGAATGCTGATGCTGGGGGCGTCTCTCTTAGCCCTTAACAACATGCTGAGCCTTTCCTGCAGGAGAGGGAGATGCCACACTCAGGAGTCAGCATGCCGTTACTGCAGGACATTAGTCATGCCTCCGGTTCAGATGCCCTGAAACCCATCTGATCAAGGTCGAGTAGGAAAATGGTTATTCTCTAAAAAAAATGGAAACAGCTCCTGAGAAATCTGTTACAAATGCCCAGCCATCTCTCGCGCCAGGGAAGCACTGTTCCTGTGCTCACTGCTGCTTAAACCCTTTAACACGGCGCCTGAGGCCCACGGGTGACCGGCCTGATTTAGCTTGGGGACCACACGTAGAGCCATATACACGTGACGGTGACACCACCCGTGTGACGGAGGAGAGCTCCCCGGGCCCAGGGGCGGCTGGCAGGGGCCTTACCAGGTAGGGCTCCTCCCCTGGGCCACACTGCGGACACTCGTGGCACAGCCCTGTGGTCTGGTTGTAGTACTCATTCTCACCGCAGTTGGAGTACTCTGCTCTGGCCGAGCACAGCAGCGACACCTGCCACAAGAAAGGGTGTCCTTTTGGCCTCCATGCCTCCCTGGAGACACGCACGCATACTCGGGTGGGCACCCTGAGGAGGCGCTGCAGGGGAAGGAGCCTGGGTGGGGGACCGGCTAGTCACTCAGCGTTCATGTGGTGCCAGGTCCCAGCAACTGCAGCGTAATGAACTGGGCAGGCCATCCCGCTTCCTGCTAGCTGGCCTCACTGCTGGTCCCCCTGACCCCTCCCTCAAAACTCCATCTCATCTTCCAGGCCTGTTCCAAACGCCCTTCACCCACAAAGTCTTGCTTCCACCTTCCCCAAAGTCACGGAGGAGGTGGCCCTCTTCCCAGAGCCTCCAGAACAGTGGATTTCTGTCACATGCGGCCTCTTCTCCGCCAGAAGCCTGGGTCTTTCTCAGCGGCGGGACCCACAGGCATGGTGCTCACCAACAGGCGCTGGGTTGTGTATATTGCAACACAAAGAAGCATTCCATCTATCCATGGAACCCTAGAAAGGGAGCCACCAAGAAGTCTTATCTGACCTGGGTGCTGCTCAGTGCTCTGCACCCTCGGAAGAGCCCAGTGAGGGGCTGCTGGCAGCATCAATCCCATTGCACGGCTGTGTAGACCGACGCGGAAGAGGCCAAGGGACCGGCCGCCTCCGGCAGCATGGGAAGTAGAGGAGCTCCCACTGGAGCCTCCTCCGGGGCCACTGCAGGTGCTCACAGGGGGAGGCTGCACTTACCACCAGCACGGGGAGCCAGGGCATCCGCTTGCCTTCTCCCGCGTGGGCCATCTGCTCCCGCCGCTTTGCCTGAAAGACACACTTCATAGCACCCTGGCGCCTGCATGGCCAGAGCCACTCCAGGACGGACTGGCCACCACCCAGCCCCCACCCTCAGTCCAGCTGCCTCCACCATGTCCCACCGGGGATGAGGGGCCTCCCCGAAAGCGGGGCAGGAAGCGAATACACCCTAAGAGGAAAGGCAGGTTTTAAGCTGAGGCCCAGGCCCCTTGGGCTGACTCTGTCCATGGCCCTGCCAATATCACATGCCTCCCAGGGAGAAAGGACTAGAGTGCATGGAGGGCCTACTGTGGAAGACAGGGCGATGACAAAATGTTCACCTGCTCACAGCATCTGAAGAAGCCTGGCTTTACACAGAGTGTAAAGGGGTGCTCCAGGCGGGTCCCAATCCTCAGGCTCTGGGGCACCCCTGGAGATAGTACCAGGACTCACAGCCTGGCCCAGCCCCTCCCCATCCTGCTGCCCATCCTCCCAGCCCCGCTGGTAGGTTCTTATTCCCCTGTTGAGAACAGGCTGTGATCAAAGTGGTTAAGAGAGTACACAAGGCCAACCACTTAATTTTATAGCCAAGACAACTGAAGCCCAGAGGGTATAGTGACTTGTCCAGGGCCACACAGCCACTTAATGGACAGAGGGTGGCTGTGGCCCAGGCGTTCAGGTGCTTTCTCCAGCTGCTAAATCAATGCACTGCTTTGAAGGAGGAGGTATTGTGTGTCACCTTTCCCTCGGCAGGATGGGAGGCCTGTGTTTCTAACCGAAAGCAGTTTTACCTGGCAGCCTGACTGTACAAAGACAAGTGGCGGGCCCGCGGGAGCGCCCACATCCCTCACTTGCCACTGCTGGGTCACTGCTGTCTTGCTTTGACACTGGGGGTGAATTCCAGACAAAACAGCATGTGCCCTCTTCTGATGGCTGGGTTGTGTGAGGAAATTTCCAGAATAAACCATGGACTCAGGAGTCAGACTGGGCCTTGGGAAGCAGCCCCCAAGAACATTAACCCTCTGAACCCTCTTGATCTTGTTGAGCCGTCTCTGCTCACGGAAACCCATAACTCCTAATACCACACAAAAAAGACTGTGCGGGGTAGCTGGAAGCAGGAGACCCGATGAATGGGAAATCCATCCTTGTTTCTGGAGAAAAGCCCTGAACTTTGTTCTTTAATACAGTATCTTTTTTTTTTTTAAAGCATTTTATTTTCTGTTTATTTATTTATGAGAGAGAGAGAGAGGGAGAGAATATCCAAGTAGATTCCCTTGGAATGTGGAGACTCAGGGCTCGATCCCACAAGCCATGAGACCATGACCTGAGCCGAACCCTGGAGTCAGATGCTTAACCGACTGAGCCACCCAGGCACCCCCGTTCAATACAGTATCTTAAAGGCATTACGGAGCAAAGCAGTCGGAAGATCATTTATTGGAAATGAAGTGGAGTTGGAGGAAGAGAGAGGGCAGAGAAGTCAGGAGTCGGGGAAGGACCCAGAAAAGGGAAAGCAGGCCCAGTGAGCGGGAGGCCCGGGAGCCTCTGGGGAAGGAAGCTCTGTGGATGTACAGACAAGTCTTCTTTTCCAAATCCCCCAGGACTCAGCGTCCTGCTCAGTGAGATTTGGAGGGAGAATGCAGGTTTAGGAGAAGCATCCTACACCTAAATATGTAGGAGAGGCCAGTGAAGGACAGACCCAAAGAGCTTTGTCCACCTTCCAGCTTCTGGTGTCCTCCTGAGAATGGCGGCTGTGGCTTCCTCTGGGAGGACACCGGTGACCCCCATCCCATCCCCTGATGTGGAGCAGCCAGGCCCACCCTTTCCAAAAGGAGAGGTTGGATAAAATACAGGCAGAGCCCTAGATATTGTGCTTGTTTATCACCACAAGAAGCAAAAATTCCAATGGAACATCAGTTCTGTGTAACACCATGAGGGGCTCTACAAGAAATCACATGGCACAGCTCTGGGTTTGTATTTGTAAAGGCTTCTGTATATACAGAAGCAGGTCTGGAGTGATATCCACTAAATTTTCAACAAAGATTTTTTTGGCAGGGGTGAAATAGGGTTGGGGTGACTACGGACCGAGGGGGTTATGGGGAAGGCTCCCTTTCCATACAGTTCTTAGTGTCAGAATGATGTACAAGTGTAGGTGTGAACTTTGTGGTCAGTAACAAAGGCAGTAAAGACATTTCGCTTTGGGAAGAAGCAACTGATTGCTCTGAGAACAGGCTGAGAACGATGTCCCGAGGGTGATTCCAGAGACAGAGGCCCCATTGGAGACACCTGGGAATGGGGTAGGGTCCCGGGGGCCTAGATCTTTCAGGGATCTTTTCCCTGCTTACGTTGGAGGTGTTCTCACCTGTGAGTACCATCTGGGGAAGGGTTAGGTTTCCAGAAACTCTTGAAGAGATACAAAAGCTACTTTTTCTCGCTTTCTAGCATGATTGCTGTCTATAATTCAGTGCCACATTTATGTTTGAAACACACTAAATGGACTGAGGCAAGATTAAAGCACCCAGCCACCCCAGCAGTGAACTTCTGGGTGTTTTCCTTCTAGCAACGGAGCAAGCTGGGGCAGGCAGGGAAGGAGGCAGAGGGAGGCCTGACCTGCAGTCCCGCCAGTTGGGGAGGGTACGATACAAACAAAGGAACCCGCTCCCTGCCCGACCGACAGCCCTGCCCTGGCTTTGGGATGGTGGGTAGCAGGGTTAAGTGCAGCTCAGCCGGGCCAGAGGCTCTCCCCAGGAGAGCTGCAGCCCTGGAGGCCTTCCAAGAACAATACTAAGGGTTTCTAATTTAATTGACTTCTAATTATAGCTGAGTCTGGGAGGGCTTCCCTATAAACACAGAGAAGGGTTGGGCTGGGTGCACCTTAGTGTCAACCTAGAGCTTTTATTTAGAGGCTCATTAAAGATGTTTCCAGGCGAACCCAAGAAGACAGAAAAGCAAAACAAATACACAACAAAGTCTGTGGGGTCGGGTGCATGTCCATCAGGACTACCAGTTCTCAAAGAAGGGAACTGGGGTGGCAGAGGGTGGTGAGGGCGGCCTCTGGTTAGGGTTCTGTTGCCAAGGCCTGACTTCCCTGGAGACGCAGCTCTGCACTCGGGAGCTAGCCTGGCCTGGGAGCAGGGGGGCCCAAGCTGCTCCCAGAAGTGACCTCCTGCTTGCCTTTACTTGGGGGATCCCCAATGCCCCAAGCAGGGCAGCGCCCTGGCCCGCAGCTGTCAGAGGTACGAGTGGAAAGAGCTGAGCCCCCACAACTCGGACAGTGATGGAGACATGAAGGTGGCAGCAAGATGTCTCTTCCCGTGCCCTGTCCACCGATGGGCAAGGCTCTGCTTCACCGCGCACGGGACTGGCTGCCGGGTGCTCTGTTCAGAGGGCTGCAGGGCGCGGCCACAGGTGAATCCACCACCGCCCGCCCAGTATGGGAAGCATACTTTCCTCGTCTCATGGCCACGTCTTGGTGGCCTAGTGCCTGTGGCCACTTTCACGACAGCACAGAGACCTGGGACCAGGTAAGCCCTTTGCAGGAAAGTGCTGCCCACTTGGCCCTCGCTCACTGCTTCCCCTGCCTCCCACAGACTCTACCATTCCTTCCTCAGCACTATTTCTTCCTAGAACACCACCACCACCATGAAAATGACAGCTGACGACTGTGGACCTCTGACCCCTGCCCAGGTACCACTCTGGCTTTACCCTCACTACCCCTGCGTGAGCTCGCAGTCAAGGGTCAGGGGAGAACAGGTGGGAGAACAGGCTGGAACCGTGGGCGCACGTGGAGAGATGAGTGCCTCTGGGATTACTGGCATGTTTCATTTCCTTTCCATCCGTGACCTCAGTCTGTAGTCCCAGATGGGCCGTTAACCAAATAGGGGAAAAAAAAAAAAAGGGTGGTGATTAAGATCAAGGGCTGAATCACATCTTGGCAAGTTGTGTAGCCACACAGTTCCTCAGTTATATATAAGCCTCAGTGCCTTATCCATGAAATGGGCGTAAGAGGAATGCCTACCTCTTGTGGGGGAGGAAGGGAGGCCTGACTATTCCTGAACTTTAACTTGGCCTCTACTGCTGTGACCACCACCTCAGCTCCAGTCTGTGCATTTCCAGCACAGAGCTTCCCTATAACATCCTCACTCTGTGGCAAGACTTTGGCTGACACCAAGCAGGCTGACCTCTGGAGACTGGGGCTGGGAGACGCTCAGGGAATAGTGCGGTTGGGCCCCTGGTTCAAAGAGCTCCAGGGAGAGGTTGGGGCTCGGCATAAAACCAGAAGGTTCAGGGTAGCTGGCAGAGGTGTGGGCCTCAGGAAGTTTGTGGTTTGTTAACTTGGAGGGTTGGATGGAACTGAGATACATCACCACTGAGGCATCATTCTCACATCCATTCAAAACTACGAAGCCTCTCCAATCGGGACCAATTCTGGGCTAGAGTTGGAGGGCTCACAGAATGAGGCCCATCTCCAGGTGACTGGAGAGTGAGGGGGCCAGAGGGTCACCCACAGTTTGGGGGCTAGAAGTCCAAGATGCTCGGGGGGCACCCCGTGGTGTGCAGGGCAGGAAGGGCCTGATTTGTCGTGTTTGGCTATTTCAGCAATATACTCTCACCAAGGCCACTTCAGCCACTGATTGAAGCTTCCCATGGAGACCACTGACTAGGAGGAAGCTATGGGGGCCAGGTGGCCTGCACCTTTGGAGGCACCTGACCCATTCTTGGGGAGATCAGGGCAGGCAAAGCCTCACCCAGGTCCTGAAGGGCAGGTAAGAGCTTGCATGGAGAGAGGTGGGAAAAATTCTCCCAGGAAGTAGGAACAGAGGCCCCAAAGGCTGGAGGCGAAGCCACGGCTGGACCAGAGGGCTAAGCACGAGGTCAGACGGAGTCTGGAGGTTGCCATGGGCCTCGTGCAAAGGCTGGGCAATGCAGCAACAGAGTGGCAGGACCAGCTTCCCACTGTGGTGACAGAAGGAGCCACTCTGGCAAGAAGTGTATGTCACAATGCCACCCGACAC